GCAACGCGATTTCCAACTATCGCAACGCGAAATGCAATGTGAATTTGCGATAATGGAGATCGCGTTGCGAATTAGCGATCGCATTGCGATTTTGTTGGTCATTTTGGCAAATCCTGAAAAAATTGGTTAAAATCGTATATTATAAGGCATTTTTGGTCACTGAGGCGATTTTCTCCAACAATAATCACATTGTGCTATGGTTTTAGGATTTTAAAGAATAACTATATAAATATTTATTAATATAATAAATTGAGTAAATTATATAAATATAAGCACATTTAAGCTAAAATGACATGTTTAAGAATTAAATGAATAATAAGCAAAATGATATGATTGAAAATGTAATTTATATGATTTAGTATATTAATAAATATTTATTTAATTATTTTTAAAATTCTAAAACCGAAGCACAATACGATTCTAGGATTAGGAATGATTTAAGCGAGATACGGTTTTACATGGATGCATCTTCTCCCATTTCTGCCACGTAGGCCAAACATGTTATCGTATAAACATACTTGTAATACACTTCTTTTATGCAATTATATTTTTGTCCTACATAACAAAAATAGATATTATTACGAAAAATAAAAATGTTTAGATGTTATTTTAATAAAAAGTATTATTTAGATAATGTAAAAAAAATATTATTCAGATAAAATTATCAAAACTCTAAGTATCTAGATTGTTCATTTATTAACTATATTCTAGGATAAGATGCCATAGTAGGTAGGGGTGTTCAAATTTTTGAATTAATTCGGTTAACCGATCGAATCGAATTAATTCGATTAATTCGGTCGGTTAACGGTTAATTTTTTTTATAATTCGGTTAACGGTTAATTCGTTTCGAAATCGGTTAATTAATCGAGATTAAATTTTAAATTTTAAATATATTATATATAACATATGAGCTCAGCCTAAATCATTTAAAACTCAATTAATAATTTAAGATCTAATAATTTTTAAACCTAAATCAATATTAATTAATTAAAAATTTTATATAATTTTTTTATTTTATAAGTATATATTATTTAAATTAAATAGAAACCTTTTTTTTGAATTAAAAAATATTTAATTTTTATATAAATTAGAAAATTTTAATTTTTTTTGATTAATTCAAAAAATTAACCGAAATTTATTCGGTTTGGTTAATATTTTCGAAAAAAAATTCGATTCAGTTAACGATTAAAAAAAATTCGATTCGATCGGTCACCAAATTAATCGAATGAACAGCCCTAGTAGGAGCTGGAAATGAAGCACGTGGCGCAACAGAATCCACCAAGCAGAAACTGAATTACAGACAAAGAAATGTAGAATGCGTTTATTTTGACTTCCACGTGGCATAAATCAGAATGCAAGACAGGTGTGAATCCAACGGTCCAAATATCTAGGAGGTGCAAGAGGATAGGACCAAATTACGATGAAAAGTCATTCCTTTGCCCTGCCTATCTAACATACTTGTCAAAACTGTTTTTGCTAAGCAGCTTTCGGCTTCTCTCTGAAAGAACACAGACATGGCGATCGAAGTTAAGGCATTGCATTTGTCGTTTGTGCCTCACGTGCTCGCCGTCGCCGGTGCCGTCATGGTTTTGGTTTGGAATATTCACTTCAGAGGTGGATTGGCTTGGGAATCCTCCAACAAAAATCTCATCTTTAATGTAAGTTTGTTTCCCCTTTTCCCTGTACTGTTGTTATCAAACTCAAATTTCTTTGGTTTCTGGGTTTCTCTCTGCTTCTTAATTGTCCCTGGAATCTTAAATTTTAACCACTAAACTAGTGAAGAACACAAAGATGAATTATTTCTGGGGTTTCTCTGTTTTCCTTATAGCATTTGGCAAGCTGTTTGATTCTTAGATGGGGAAGGTTTGTGTAATGAAATTAGGTACGATGTCAGTATTAAAGTTCAGTATATTATTCGTTATGTATGACTAGAGATATTAACGGGTTGGATTGAGTTTTTGTCAATTCGATCAAATCCGAAAAATATATATTATCTATATAAATTTGACCCAGCTCGAGAAACATGCACCATCCACCCGACTCGATCTAATTGAAGGAGTATATTCTCTTTCTTTATCTTTTAATCTCTAGGCAGTGGTGGATACATGAGATTCTAAAATTTTAATTTTTTTAAAAAAGTAATGGATATGTGAAAGTTAATTTTTTTTACTTTTTAACCTGTTAAATTAAATTTAATCATTTTTCTAAAATAATAAGATGCATTTGTCCTTACTGCATCGGCCACTGTCACTTGGTATGGCCGCTAAAGGAATCCTGAGCCCTCTTTCTTTATCTTTTAATCTCTCTGTCCATATCGTAAGTTTTTTTCCAATTCACTTAAATCATCAATTATATTTTTATTTAAATCAGAAGAGATGGACGTCTATCCGTCTCCGCCTCACTTTTCCATCAGCAATTTCTAGTATAAGTCCTCTTTTTTGTGGGAAAATACGGTCGTGCGTGGCGGATGTTCATATGTGGAAGCAGAGCTACAGCTGTGCTTTATTAAAGTGGCCATGTGTTTCTCATGAAGATTACCCTACTTTCCTAACTGCCCTCCAGTTTAATATATTATACATGTTTCGGTGTCCAACGACATCTCTGGTGATGGATATGACGGACACTGAAATATAATTTTTGTTAAATTAATTATTTGTTTTATGTGTGTGTTCATTTTAAAATTTTATTTGTGTATATCTCTTATAAAATTTTGATATTATTAATATATGCACACTTTTCCTAAAATATATTTCTGAATCTGTCATTGTCTGATGTCCGATCTTTTGTGGCATTCTCAGCATGAAAAGATTTTACTTTGTGTGTGTAGATCCATCCTGTATTGATGCTGATTGGCTTCGTTATCATAGGAGGTCAAGGTAATTAATCCAACATACCATTTTCTTTGCTGTCTCATTGATAAACAAAACAATTCTCCCAAAATTACCCCCCAAAAAATGCAGCCATTATGAGCTACAAGGCATTGCCACTGAAGAAGGAAGTTAAGAAACTAATACATCTTGTGCTCCATGCCATTGCTCTAATCCTGGGCATTATTGGAATATATACTGCATTCAAGAACCATAATGAGAGTGGGATACCAAATCTCTACAGCCTGCATTCTTGGCTTGGGATTGGAATCATTGTCCTTTATGGCATTCAGGTACTAATACCAATATACATCTTTAGTGTAAAGTAGGGCCGTAAACGAGACGAGACATTTGTATTCTATTCGAGTTTGATTCGGTCAAAGCTCGATTAACACTCGATTTGAATAGATCAGCTCGAGTTCTTAATGAGAAGAAGTGAACTACTTGATATTCGACTCGTAAAGCTCAGTAATACTCGTGTTCAACTCGTCTCATTTACAACCTTAGTGTTAAATTTCATGACTTGTAAAAAACATAACCAAGTTCTATGAGCACCCAAGTCAGTGTTTTTGAAATGGAAAAGTATAAATTGCAGTGGTTGTATGGCTTCCTCGTGTTCTTCTACCCCGGAGGGTCGACCGGATTAAGAAGAGAGTCGCTTCCGTGGCACGTGCTGTTGGGGCTGTTTGTGTACATCTTGGCTGTTGGCAATGCCAGCTTGGGGTTCCTGGAGAAGCTTACATTCCTGGAGAACTCGGGTCTCGACAAATATGGTGCTGAGGCCTTCCTTGTAAACTTCACAGCTATTGTCACAATACTGTATGGAGCCTTCGTTATATTTACAGTTTTCTCCCATGCTCCTCAAGAGGATGACTACAGCTATTCTTCTATGTAGTTTGATGTAATATATCTATATCCATGTATTGCATAATGGTGTATATCTACTGTTATCCGTATTTCTAGACTAAGTTGTTGTAATCAATAATATTGGTAATTTGTGGGACCTTATAGCTGGAATTGAGGATTCACCAACATAATAACCCAATCTTTTGTGCCTTGTATAACCAATGATATCGAGGGAACATCTTTAAAACAAAATGAATCATAGTTATTACAATTTCAGATTCAGAACTGAAATATAATCATAGGTCTACATAGATACATATGTCATCTAAGAAATTCAATATTATACTTTGAATCGATTATGCCCGAATTCTTTAACTATAATATAATCGAACCACATATTGACCTGAAAATGATAAATAATCAAATATTAAAAACTCAATTTTCGGTTCGATCCTATTCCCAAACCTGCTTTGATATCCAAGACTTTATTTCCTTTTGGGACTTAGTTCTGACATTAATTATTTGATCAGAATAACTTATTGTACTACGCATTTATTTAGATTATCAACTAATATAAGTTATTTTATGCATTACAAACAAATTTACTAATTCATCTTATAATTATTTAAACTAGTAGGTGATTGATGAACCGATATTTACTTTCCCTTATTGGTTTACATGAAATTTTAAATCAATTGAGTCCTTAATTTAATAATAAACTAAATTAATATTTATTTTTAAAAGTTTTTTTTAAATAAATGATAATTGAATTAATTTAAATAAAAGTTGAACTTAAACTTAATCCTAATTAAATAAGTTATGAGTTGCTTTCTAGCCGACGCATAATAGAGCAATAGTATCTACTAGGGTTTTAAATAGGAGTATCGCGGTCGTTATATCGCGATCGTGGCGATGTTCGAAATCGATGTCGCAGAAAATAACGATATTAAGTAGGATCACACCAATAGCGGCGGATCGCGGCAATAGCGGACCGCTATTCTACTATTATTCAGTTATTTTATTTTTTTTAAAAAAATATGTTTTTTATTAAAAAATCAACTCATTCGGAAAAAAATTACGATCAAGATATCCGCAATGACTGCAATAGCATATGTTATATATGCAACCGTAATAAACGCGACGCAACCGAAAACGTGACCGCGAATGCTATTTAAATCATATACAACTCAAAGACGATGGAATGAGCTCTCCCCCCCCCCCACTAACTATAATATCCCAACCACCTCTTCCTCTTCTCCCTTCTTCTCCGGTTAAACTTAAACTCACATGGCAGAGGTTGAAGAACCGGAGAAGCTTGAACCCCAAAACCCCTCCGATCCCTCGCCGCCTGCTCCTGAGGTCGTCAAGGAAAAACCGATATTCCACCACCTCCGACTCAAGAAAACCCTGCCCCCGTCCAAAGTATATCTCTTCCCATTTTTTCTTTTCACCTTGTTTTTGATAATAAATAATCTTGAGATTATTGGTTGTTTATGGCAGAGGCAGAGACGGAGCAAAAAAGCACGATGGGTCTGTTGGTCGATGTAATTTTTCCATCTTACGTTCCAGTGTTTAGATGATTAAATTGAACCTTTTCCATATGCTCTATTTGTCCAGATACTGTGCTGGCTAGAGTTGCGACTGAGAAGCGAATTTCACTAGTCAAAGCTCGGGAAGAGAGCGAGAAAAGCAAAGCTGAGAACAAGTATCCACTTACTTCACTTGTATAAACGCACCATAATGTTTAAATCAGTACTTGTCGGATGATACTGTTAATTGACTAAATATTAACACGATACTTTTAAATGTATTAAAGTGTCACGTATTATATCACTTAAAATAATAATATAATATGTATCATATCATCCAAATTGATAACGTGATAATTAAACACCTATAAAAATATTACGCTAATAACATGTATTGAATGTTAATCAATTAATACTTTCCATCTAATATGAGATATTTTGATAAAAAATTAAAACGTTAATGATTAAAATACTTTAAAAACATAATAATGATTAAAATGATGATCCTGATAAACGTTTGAGGCTCATTTTGGCTTAGTGTGAAATAAAAGTTATATATTTAATTATTGGTTTTGACTCAAGCTTATTGACCTGGTTGAGCAGAGCTCAAAAGAAGCTTTCATCTTTAGCGGCATGGGCGAACAGCAAGAAAGCAGCTCTGGAGGCCGAGTTGAAAAAGATTGAGGTATTATCAATTCAGTTCAGTTTGGTTTGGTTTTTGAAGAGAAAGTTGAGATATTTAGCGATGAATGTGCAGGAAAAACTAGAGAGCAGAAGGCGGAGTATGTGGAGAAAATGAAGAACAAGATAGCCTTAATCCACAAGGAAGCAGAAGAGAAGAAGGCAATGGTTGAAGCCACGCGTGAAGATGTTCTCAAGGCGGAAGAGTTGGCAGCGAAGTACCGAGCCACCGGAACTACTCCCAAGACCATTTTTGGTTGCTTTTGAGCACTTCATTTCCTAAAGAAGATTGGCTTTGTATTATGGTGAATCATTTAGGCATTGCTCAGTGTTCATTGTGCAGTGTGTAATCTGTATGTATTTGTGCGTGTATAGAGTACTGTTTTGTGAAGATTTACTTATTGAATTTGTAAGAAACAAAGTTTGATGTAATAATGTTGAGCCCTGAAGATGATAATGAAGTGGTCAATCTTACAATATATATATATATATATATATATATATATAGTGTTCTTGCATCCTCAGAATTTGTTAGGGAATTTTTTAATGATCTTTTATTGGGTAAACACCACATGTCATTTAATTATTAGTAAAATTTTAAATAGGCCACTCACAAATATTATTTTAAATTTAGGTACTTTATTCCTCCTAATATTTGATCCGAGCTCCATCCTTCTACCAAATAGACGTACATGTTTGAACATAGAATCTTGAGGAAAAACACTACTCCCTTTAACCATTGAGATACTCGACGAATTCTTAAAGTTTACATTCTAGATATGATTATTATTTTGAAATTTAAGCTTTAAACCTTAAGCAATATTTATACGGTCTAATGACATTTTTTTACCCTTCAACCTTTTAAAAACATCATTTTAACCCTGAATCTTTTTCCACTCTTTTTAGCCCTTGAATTTCTATTTTTGTATTAAATCGGTCTTGAAGCCAAATGTTGTCAAATCTGTGGGGTTCATACCACTTTTGAAAACGATAGTAGATACGTTTAATCAATTTTCCCTAATTTGCCTTGCAGCAATGTTACAACAATTTATCACAAAAACTGATGAAATCTTGCTGGATTCATTACCACACATGCCGACTTAAGCTTATCTTCACCTCACCTTCAAATCTCATATCAAACTCCACCCAAATTCTTGGTGCCGGGTTTGAAGCTTTCCCATTCAATCCAAGGCATGATTGATTACTCCATTATGAGGGGTTAATTTGTTTAGATTTAAGTGGTTGTTGATATGAACACTGTTCAATTTTTACAAAGTTTTTCTTTCGTATATTCTAATAATTATATTTTCATACTTATATTTCAATATATTTTAAAATATATGAATTTAATAAGCAGTCCCATTAGATAAGGGTGACATATTTTCGCAAATGATCTGAATTCAAACAACATTATTTATAAGTACGTGTAAGTTTATCAAAACTATAAAATATAACAGATACTATATATTATATGACCATATTAGAATGCTCAAAGTATATAAGTGACTTATTTTATTAAGGCATAATGACAAAAAAAAAATGTGTCCCTAATGGAAAAGGAAAATATATAAGTGACTTATTTTGAAGTATTTGATGATTAATAATTTTTATTTACACAGGTTGAGAGTTAAAATGTTAAAAAAAAAATAGTAAGATTAAAGTAACTATGTAGTCAAATGTTAGATGTATTTTCTGTCATTAAACCTTATTAATAATAAAATTTAAATAATCTAATTTGATTAAACCAAATTTTAATAATCTAGAATGTAAGAAAATGAAATAATTTTTTAGGTTAAACTACACATATAGTACTTAAACTATTCCTTTTGTTTTATTTCAATACCCAAACTTTATTTTTTTCTCAAAAGCTTACCTAACATTTAGTTTATGTTTCATTTTGATATACTATTGTTAAAAGCTTAACGATGATGTTAACGTGTCACCATAAGATAATGTCACATCATCATTGAAAAAATAAAAAAATACCACATCAGTAGCTCTGTTAATTTTTTTTAGTATCAGATTGAAACCTAAATCAAATGTTAGATATGATTTTTTTAAAAATATAAAATTTAGATACCAAAACAAAACAAAAGTAATAGTTTACGTACTAAACATGTAGTTTACCCAAGAAAATTATATTGAATCAAATTTATATATTAATATATTTGTTATGTAATTCCTAAAAGGAGATTTAGATATATTGCAAAATTATCTTAGTGTTTAAGAGATTTGTTGTTATCCTTTAAGGTCATGGATTTGAGCACCATAAATGTTCGAGGTACGAGCACTTATTATTAAATGATTGAGAGTATTTGAACATATATTGTCTTGTATTTATTTCAAATTTTTAAAAAAATAGATACCATAAACAGGCTTAAGGTAGGCTTAAAAATGATTAGAATACGGGCATTAGGGTCATTTCCAAATACTAAGGAGCGATTGTATAAAGGCATTCAAACCCCGAACCCAACTCCGGATGTCCGGTTCTCGTAAGATTCCATTTAAGGTAATTTTCAGAGGATGAGAACTCATACTGCTTTTATTTTCCTTATGATATTGGCAATCATGGTAGCAACAATCCATGTTTCGAGTTGTCGGCAACTCACCTGGTCGGCTGTCGACCAGGAAACTCAACACAAATTAAGAAGAAGCCAGTTGTTTTCCTTCCCATTCGGTCACCGGATTCCTGCCGGAAACGACGGCGGCTCCAATCGACTTGTCCCCGGAGGACCAAACCCACTGAACAACTGAGGAAGATAAAGTACGCATGTACTCGAAGCAGATTTTTTTTTTCTTTCCCAAAATGATCCTTTTTTTTTTAAGTTTTTGTATTGAAAAGAACGTTTCAATGTGCATTAGTCTTTGCTATAATTCATGTTAAGCAAAGGACTTGAAGTTTCAAATACTGGTAATATGTCAGCATATGTTCTTCACACTGATGCACATTTTGAAGTTGGTAAAAGATTCCCATTGATAAACAATAAAGGTATAATGATAGGATTGCAAAAAGAAAGATTAAATAATCATTTAGATAATTATTTTTTTTCTATCATTTTGATATTTAATGTTTCATTTCAAGGGAAAAAAACTCATTTGTAGATTTAATCAGTTAATCAACAAACAATAAACATTTTAAAATAAATATATTTTTGTCTTAAAATAAAACGTTGAGACAAAAAAAATTAAAAATAAATAAAAAACTAAAATATTTATTTAATCAAATACTAAGAGAGTTTTTACCCCAATATAAGGGCAAAATCAACGAGATAATGCTCTCAAATTATTTATTTCACGAAATAATGATCTCACTAGATTAATTACTCAAATGGAGTGATTTTCACAGTGTTGCCGTAGGTCGCCATGCCATCCGGGCGACCTTGGAGGTCACCATGGCATCCGGGCGAGCTTGAAGTTTCTGCATGGCTGTGCATGGCAACGTGGCATGGGTCTGGGTGGCAGCATGGCAACGTGGCCACGTGAATGAACGTGTTGTATGGTACATGCACGTCCCAAGCATACTAATTAAATATTTTTTTTATTTCTATATGATATAACTTAAACTAACAATAATATAACTTAAACTAACAAACTAATTAACTATTTTTTTTACCCTAATTTATAATAATAAACTAATAAACTAATAATTTATAACAATAAACTAATTTAAATAATTATTCTTTTATATAACTTAAACTAATAAACTATTTTTTATTATAATAAAACTTAAACTACTAATAAACTAATTTTTTTATATAATATAAATTCAACAACCAAAATATAATTTAACTATTTAACTAACTACAAACTAATTAAATATTAGACTAACTAACACACTAATTAATTATTTTTTTAATATATAACCATCAAACAAACTAATTAAATAATTAATTACAATTTTATTTTAACTTAAACCATAAACTAACAAACTAATAATTTAAAATAATAAACTAATTAAAATAATTAAAAAAACTTACCTCGATGTTGTGCTCTCCCTTTCTTATTCTTCTTCCTCTTTTCTCTGCTATCTTCTCCTTTGTTATTTTCTCACTTTCTTTCTCTCTTAATTGTTTCACTCATTAACCCTATCCATCAAATATATAATACAACAACCGGGCATACTCTGCTTCAATTATAGGTCGTCGAGTCATTCACGTTCACGGGATGCAATAATGCAGCAATAAGTGCTGCAATAATGCAGCTGAATTCATGCTGCATGGGAGCAGAGGCGCAGCGACAGCAGAGCACGTGAGAGCTTCGGGTCATGCAAAGAAGGCATAGGTCGTTGGGATCCCTTGGCGACCTACAATGTCGCTGGGATGCCCTGGCGACCTACCCAACGTTGCCATGCTGCCACCCAGACCCATGTTGTAACATCCCAAATTATAGGTTAGTGACTAAATTGTAAAATTTTAGAATTTGGTGATTAAAGTGGAAAAGTTGAAAAGTTCAATGATTTATGGGAGATAATCCCTGGAAGTTTTTAGTAATTATCCAAAGTAGTAAAGGGCAAAATGGTCATTTGACAATAAAGATATTTTATCCCCTTTAATAGGAGATTGAAACGTGGAAGATGAAAACATTTCATCTCTTCTTCATTTCTTCTTTCTCCTCCCGTAAGAGCTCAAGGGCAAAGGTAAGTTTCTTCATTAGTTGATTATTTGTTCAACTAAAGGTTGGGTGTTGTTCATTGGATAGTAATTAAGCTTAAGGAAAGCTTAATTGGTTATAAAACAACAAGATGAAAGGTAGGATAGATTAAAGATTTTGAGTTTTTGAATGAAATCTTGAAATAAAGTTGATAAGTTGAATTTTAAGTTGAATTTGACTTGTCAATAGTTGAATTAAGAGATTTGGAGTGATAGAAAGGAATTTAGAACATGTTGAAAATTGAGTATAATTCTTGAATTTCATTAAGAGGAGAGGATTTTGAGAATTAAGATGGATTAAATGAGTACAAATAGGCTTAAGTATGTGTGTTTGAGTTTAGTATATACGAGAGGTTGAAATATGAAGTGTTTAAGATGAAATGAAGTAAATTTCGTGCTGAAAATATGATTTCTGGGCAAGGGGAATGGGTACCCATTCAAGGGAATAGGTACCCATTCAATGGGGAATCGATACCCCTCAAGCGAACAAGAAATTCCAGAATCTCATAGGGGAACTGATTCCCCCATAGGAGGGAATCGATTCCCCCTAAAGGAAAAATGTGAATATTGGTTTAATAAGTTCGTTTAAGTTGCTAGTATCCAATTACAAGGTGTAGG